GGGCCCGAATAGGTCCATAGCCTGATCTTTTATTAGTAATTATGCTATTATCCTATTTAGTCTGACAACGTAAGTCCTGTTAGGTCATACCTAGAGTCCCTAATGTTGCGACGGTCGTCGGACGAAATAGTAAATTTAGTTTTACTTTTCTCCATTTCAATAGATGGAAGCTATAATTGTGCATGGTCAATATTGTACACACCTTACGTAAGTCCCGGACAACAGGACAATTTTAGTCTAGTTCGCGTTTGCGACGTGTGGTGTGAACAATATGGTCATGCAGAATTATAGATTCTTCAGCCCTATCCTTTACAAACAATTTGAGGCTCTCAGAATAGCTTCCATAGCATATCTGAGAATGCTCAAGTTGTGAAGAAAGAATAGCTAAGGCCAGCCCCCTCTTTTACAATAGTCCATAGAGTATTTGTTTTAGAAACATGCGTTTGTCCGCAGTGAAGTAGTAAGGGTAGTCCTACAGGTTCTAGGTTATCAAAACCATCTTCTAGATGCACCTTTAAAAGTTTTTCTGTGGGAAACAACTACTAAATTTTATCCATTTTAGTTTTTCTTGTCTGCATCTCCTGAAACCAAAATAGAAAAGAAACAATTAGAAACGTATCTACGAACTATAATACATTTTTTACATTACCTGCAAACTTTACTTTCCTGAAATACACCGCCGATAGTAAGATTTTATTTAATTTGAGATTTCAAGATTTATCTTTGGTTCTTTTGGATTTGGATTTTGAGTTTTTTTTGTAGAACGTTTAGCTTTGTCGTTACGAACGTTTTGGATTTAGTTTTTGAATCTTTACTTCCTTTCTTTAGAATTGATTTTTTTTAGTTTTCCTTTGGGAAAGAGGAGGAATTTCTTCTAGTATTTTGCTTAATATTTATCATAGAGGTAAATAGTTATTTTTTTACTAGCGGTCTATTATACAAATCATCAATTTTGTCGTTTTATCATTTTGTGTGAGTTGTGATTGTATCATTTGGTCATTCCGCGTACTGTCTGCTAGGAATGGTTTTAACTCGCTCAGCTAGAAGTCGTTCGCAAGCTGACAATAGAAACACTCCCAATATGGAGAACGTTAATAGGACCACGGTATTAACTGTAGTTCCACTTCGCACCCGACGTATACTATCGCCAGTACCAGTGCTACTACAACCACTACTACGTCGTCCGTTACGCCAGCAGTCCAGCAATTTATGACAATGGCCCATGAACGTTCTGGCTTTCATAATGAATCGGCCATTTCAAATAGCACCATAACCTCTCCTGAGTATAGCAGTATCACTGCCAGAAATGTGCAGCAAGAATTTCGAGCTAGTGTGCCTTCTGCAGCTCCTCAAGCCGCTAATAACTTTGCAGCTACACCCGAGATGTGTAATTTTATACGGGAGGAAATGAGGAGACAAATTCAATCTATACGACAGGAACTTTCTCAAGTCATATCACGAGCTGTTTCTCAAGCATCACCTCCACAGCCAGCGGTGCCACAGCCACCTGTTGAACAACAGAATAATTTATTATATAATATACAACCACAATCCCAAATGAACATACCTGTTAATAACAACCCGATGCCATATGCTTTTCAGCCGACACAAGGTCCAGCAGTTAACCAGCAGCCATATTATCCACCACCAAATCCAGGATTTAATCCAGTTTTTCCGACAGCTCAGTCGTCACAAGCTCCTAGTCTGCCAAACGACCACCCATTTTCCACCCAGCGGAAGGTAGATTTGTCCAAATGGGGCATAAAATTTGATGGGTCGACGAAATACATGAGCGCGGAGGATTTCATTTTCCGTGTTGATGTCTTGAGGCAGGACTACAACTGTACCTTCAATGACCTTTTACGAAGTTTTCACGTTTTGTTGGAAGGACCAGCACTGGACTGGTACTGGAACTTGCGGAAGCTCACAGCAATACAGTCCTGGGAAGATTTGGTGAGAGCTTTTCTGACCCAGTTTAAGCGTTATGAAAGCGAATTCCAGCTGCAGAAGCAAATTATGGACAGACGCCAGTTGCCTCAGGAGAGTTTTGAAAGCTTTTACAATGCTGTTATGAGGCTGAGGAATCAACAAAGGAATCCATATTCCGAAAGGGACCTCGTTGAAATAATGAAAGCCAACCTAAAGCCATCGTTATCCCACTTACTGTTCGCAGTGAAGACTGAGGGGCTCAACAATTTCTGCCAGCAAGCCAAACGAGCAGAAAACTTGCTCTATAATCAGCGGCAGCAGTTCCAGTCGAGGCCACAAGTACCTCAAAGAGTGAACGAAATTCAGTGTACCGAAGTAGATTCATCAGTCGTCAATGTCGAGCTAGACGCTTTAGCAACGAATAATCGTTATGTCTGTTGGAATTGTAAGGTCCAAGGTCATAGTTTTGTTGACTGTCCACAATCACTAAAAAGGCAATTTTGTTTCCGATGCGGAATGGATGGTGTATTGGCACCCAACTGTCCCAAGTGCCAGGAAAACCGGTCACGGAACCCGTCTCAAACTGGGGAGACGAGTTCGAACAAAGTTTAGACCCAGTTCACCAACAGCAATATAATAAAGTCAGTGTTAGTAAGGAGGTAGTCGACAAAAATAAGGCGCCGAAACTTAGCGTTTTTGGTAGAATATCGAAGAGGATTAGAAAAGCGAGAGAACGATATAAAATGCGCAAGAAAATACGTCATGAAATTGCCGCGGCTTCAATACATGAAGGTGAAGACTGCCGAATTTACACCTATATTGACATAGGCGGTCAACAGGTTAAAGGTCTGTTGGATAGTGGTGCCACAGTCTCAGTCCTAGGTCGAAATTGTTTGGATCTAGTACGAAAAGCTGGTCTTAAGATTCATGCGTATGATAATCTAATAAAAACTGCGGACGGTACAGCACACCGTATAGTTGGTCGAGTCCAAGTGGAAGTTACTTGTCGAAATCTAACGAAACGTATAAACTTATACCTAGTCCCGACCTTAAGTAGCGAGTTATTTTTAGGCGTAGACTATTTTAAAATTTTAATATTGGTGCCTTCTAGTTGAAGACCTTCATGGGAAATCGTTGGGGGTATTTCATGCCAAAGATTTGAAACAATAGTTTCAACATCTTTGGTGGTTCTAGTCCCAACGATTATACCTACTCCTAGCTCGAACCAAAATGATAAAACCTATTTTATTTTCTGTATTTTGTATAAATGAGTTAGTAGATACTTTCTACACAAAACATTTTGTTAATGATATTTTGCCTTGATTATATTTAACACTTTGTTTTCTTTTTTAGTGAAAGCCTACGACCAGGGAAGTTCATTTGTGTTGTGGAACAGTAAACAGTCGTGATAGTTTGCCCGTTAACGAGTAGTTCGCCGAGTGCTCAACCAGACTAAATATATTAATTTTCGTTTATGACCACGTTGTGATCGTCAGACGCTAGTCATAGATGCAATTCCGTCATAGCACCCTTTGGAACCATGCGCTCAGGGTTAGGAATTATTAGTCATCTAAGCGCTGACTAAAATTTGGCAATTTGAATTGTCTGGGAGCAAAGCTGCGACGAGTATCCAACAAGCGTTTCGGGTAGAAACACGTGAATTACTCGTTAACAGGGAAATCTATCACTACGGTATGTTGTTCTCACAACACGAACTATTCCTGGCAAAATAGTTTTTTTCTAATGGAAAACATTATGATCTTAACGATCACGAAATAAGGCAATATATCTATAGTTTGCTTTTAAATCTAATTTAAATACTAAATCTAATATTAGACTAAACAGAATAACTTAAAATTAGATGTTAATAATAGAAATTTAAAGTTTTCGCTTACCGATTAAAATTTGCGTTGATTGGAGAAATTTTCCTCTCGATCTTACAGTTGGCTGGTATTGTTGATTTTCTTCAGGAACCAAAATTTGATGATTCAACCTGTGAAAGGAAAAACAAAACAATTAGTATTTGGTCTAAAGTAAATTTTGATGATACAAGTCATTTTCAATATCTAATCATTTGATTTAGATAAGTTCAGTATTAGTTAGTACTTACGTTTTAGAACAATAATTGGGTTCATATACCGCATTCAAGCTTCCGGTCCAGGTCCAATCTGAATTTATAACCTGTGGAAGAGAAATAAAATATAATTAGTTGAATTAATTTAATCTAGCTTTTTGTAATCTTCTAAAAGGACAAACTGAATTCCAAGCTAAGATCAAATCATTTTTATTTATTATTCCTTTTAGAAAATTACACTTTATATATATATTTTTCTTTTTTTTTCAAAATAATTTTATTTTTGAATATTTTTACTTTTATTTCCGGAGAAATTGTAAGGGGTATTTCTCGCCAAAGTCTCTAGACGTTAGTCTATGAGCTTTGGTGAACTTAGTCCTTACATTTCTACCAAATTCCTACGATTAAGTCGTGAATATGAAGAGAAAACTTAATATAAGTGAAATTATGTTTCATTATATATTATTTAGTTTTAGGTTTATTACTTACCTTTCCTGAACGGAAGCAGCAACCAAGGCCAAATCCCAGGTCCAATTGAATTTTATTAGCTGAAAGTAAAAGAAAATTTATAAAATTATTAGTTTTGAATTAAAGCAAAAGATATTTTAATCGGAGAAATAATTTTATTTTCACTTTTCTTTTATTTTATCCATTTAGGATTGGTTTGATGTTTTTAGAGTTTTCTTTATTAATTTTTCTTTTGTTTTGGTTACAAAAGGTTTTGGTCACGGTTCACTTCATTTTTGTTTACACAAATAATTTTGTTTTAAATTTAACTGATTCACAAATTCTGATGGCCACTGTAAATTTTCAAACCTTAGTTTCCGTTGGTCTCGCTTATTAGATCCAGTCACTAAAAATTTTCACGTTTTTTTTACACCCACTGTATTTGAAGAAAAAAAAATATTTCACTGTCACTTCACTTTTTGTTCTCACTGTATCTTCCAAATTTAAATTTTAAATTTTTTTTTCACTTTTCGGGACCACTGTAATTTTCAAAACAATTTACTATTTTTCAACTTTTTTTAATTAAATTAATTTTTTTTGTCCGTACCCTTTTCACACTCACTGTAAGTTTCGATCAAAAAAATTTTTTTTTAAACATTTTCACTGTTAATTTATCCGTCCGACACAACGATTTAATTTTTATTTCTCTCAATTAATTTGTTTTTATTTTTTTGTCCGTATAATTTTTGACACGCACTGTAAATTCCAAAATATTTTTTTTACCCGAATTCACTTTTTCCAAAACCCGAACCGAAATTATTTTAAATTTATAAAATTTTTTTTATTTTATTCGATTAAATTTTTTTTTACACGGCACTCACACTTTTGACGTACACTGTAACCAAAATTTTTTTTTTTTATGCACCGAACCACATTTTAATTTTCACTAAAGTCCACTTTTTATATTTCAAATATAATCCATTACACTTACCTTAAATTTCCGGAACCACCTTAATGCCTAGTCCACCGGCCCATCTGGAACAAAACCTGAAAAATTTAAAACAAAATTATTAGAAAATTTTATAAAAATAATTTCCACACTTTTTTTTTTACTTACCAGTTCATTCTGCTTCGATCCGCCATCTTTCAGAATCGGCCATCAGTTTTTTATATAAGCCCAAGGCAGCCAACATGATCCCTGTAAAGAAAAGAAAAAATTTGGTTGTGTTAGTTAACAACACCACTAATAAATTTTTCTATCACTATGTTTTTGTTACTTACCTTATTTAAAATCCCCTTATACGGCCATAGAAATCCACCAGAACCTGTAAAGATACAAAAGAAAAAATTATTATATTGTTTTGAACTATTTAAATTAATACTTTTATTATTTTATGTAATTATTAACAAAAAAATTACTTACCTCGTTGTATCCATTGATATTTTTTTTTGTTTGGGTGCTTCTTCTTCACCCACGCGTAGTATTTTTCTTATTTGCCTCCTCCTTTTCCATTCATTCAAGCAGCTGTTCACAGTACGTCGCCGCCTGAGTAGTTTTTAACGGCGGTACAGAGTTGTACTTTTGTTCTCGAATGAATAAGGGTTGCCATAGTGCAAATTTTTTGTATGGGAATAATGAAATACCCAAAATCCCAGAAAAGTTTTAGGACATTAGGGTAGTTCAGAAAAATTAGGGCGCGTTTTTTTCCCTCCCATCCTGTATCCAGGGATGGATAACAGGAGTGGTGGGGTTTGTCGTGTGCACCCTGTAGTAGAGCTACTGAATAGAAGAAGAAGAAACTTAAACAGGTGGCAACACAATGAAAAAGGGATTTTTTTTTTGTTTTCTTTTTTTGTGAGAAAGAAGAAGAGGAATAAAAACAAAAACAAATAGCTTTAGAAAAAATTTTATGTAGGCAAACAAATTGCTGAAAATTTGTTGAAGCCATATTGGTAACCGAGGTTTCTCGATGCCAAAAGAAAAAAATGTCGGTCCTTTTTGATTTTTGCTCGGAGAGAAGAAGAAGGTGGAGTCTGTGGCCATCATAAAAAAAAAAAAACTAAATTTTTGATTTTTTTAAACTAAATAAATTTTATTAAAGAATTTAAACTTAACGCTAAACTTAAAGCTAAGCTTAAAGCTAAACTTAAAACTAAATTTTAAAATATAAAAATAAAAGAAAAATAAACAAACCTGCAAGCCACTGCAACACGACTCCATCCAACGAGGGAGAAGCTGCTTTTCAGCACCACCACGCCTGGGGTGCTCTGGTATCAGTTTTTGGTTTTCCGACTAAGTGATAGTTTTTACCTGGACGACAAGACGGACGTACAATATTCCTTTTCTTTATATAAAAAAATTTTATTAGTTAGGGCAAGATATCTTTATTCTTGAGGAATCCTTACCTCGTATTGCTTGACCGCCGCCATCCCGCGTGAAATCCTCATTTCAACCACGCGTGCGCGAACATTAGGGTAGAGCTCTGGCCTAGAATTATAGTAGTTTTCGGTGTTTGAGTCCTAGGTTTCCGGTAATAAAGGTAGTTTCCCTGAAAATAAATAAAGAAAATAAATTAAAGGAATAAGGTAAAAATAGATAATATTTTGTTTACTTACCTGGTTTACCCGAACGGACCTTAATACGGACGGACAGGAAAGCCTTCTCCGCCAAAAGAACTCTTCTCAACCTGTAATTGCCTCCAGTAAACCAGTCAGTTGCCGCAGCGAAATAATTGCCTAATCCCGTTTATCCCCAAGCGAAATCAGGAACTTTTAAAAAACGTAAACGTAAAATTTGAAAATATAAATTTAAACCTAAATCAAAATCTAAAACTAAATCTAAATTTTAAATTCTAAAACATAAATTTAAAACTTAAATCTTAAACTAAAGCTAAATCTAAATTTAAATTTTAAATTCTAAATTTTAAAACCTAAATCTTAACCTAAAACTAAATCTAAATTCAAAATATTAAAACTAAATCTAAACTAAATTTTAAATCAAAACCTAGTATTGTTAAATATTGTTTGGAGTAATTTTGTTTCAATAAAACTAAACCTTATTATAATGTTTGACTGAAAATTTCGAATTAGTTATCATTTAAAATGATCGGTTAAATAACATAAGCGGCGGTAAGTAGGGAAGGTGAATGTTTGCAGGATAAAATTTTGGGACATCCCTAATATTAGGATGTCATGGCGGGGTTATCCACTCCCGAGTGGGAGGGTTTATACTGGCACAACATCTGCCAGCCGTTATAGGTCGTAGGTACGTTTCAGCAGGGAGACAGACAGAAACCTACTCGGTGCCCATTTATATTTATTTCGTTTATTTCTTTTAGCTGGTATGATTTTTATGTGTGTGTGTAGGTGTCTAGAGTGGTAGCAAGAACCACCCCCATCCGGCGAGCTCCAAGCCCGGCGAACGCGAGCATACCAGCGCCGCTACCACTCCTGGCAACACTAGTTTCTTTTATTTTGTTTTGGTATGGTTATACCATACCAAACATATACAACCACTACACTACAAATGGTGCCCCCGCTTTAGAGGGTAAAGGTGGTGCCCGTTATGTTAAGCATGGAGCATTTTGTTTGGAAACACAAAAGTATCCCGACTCTATGAATCATGCTAATTTTCCTACAATATTTTTAAATCCAGGCGAGAAATATTATCATGATGTCGTATATAAATTTGGTAATTGAAAATATTTTGGAAAATTTACTATAAAGATATGAATAAATCCTTCAATTTAATAAAAAAAGATATTTGTTTAGTTTTAATAGTTTTTTAGTTTTATATTCTACAAATAAAGAAAATTATTTGATAAAATCCTAGAGATCGAAAATTTTATTGCAAAATTTATAAAAATTATAAAATTTTGTAAAAATGTTTAAATTATTCACAACAACCAAAACGGTAGACCACAGTATGGCAATATTTCTGTTTCGGTCCTATAAACACATTCGGAAAATTGCACTGATTCATGGCATCAGGGTAGTTTTGACAAGCCAAACAAAAGGCACCATATTGAGCATACACTGCTCTAGATTTACCAATTATAGGTTCAGCTCCTGCTTTATCAATATCAGGCCAATCATTACAAGTACTAAAATGGACCGAAGGTTGATCGCTAAAAATCTCCAACCATCTACCCGAACAGGGATGTATAACTTTGGCTATAGGTTTAATTTGACCTTCACAGCTATCAATACAATAATTATTATGAAAACCTTTGTTGGGATAATTGAAAAATTTCTTAAGCCGTTTGCCCAAATTAACATATTTGCGCAAATCATAGGGAGTATGCTTGACAGGCATCAAACAACCGGTGGGTATATGCTCTTTATCACATTCCACGATTTTGTTACTTTTTATCATGATATTATGCTGGAAGAGCGCCTCCTTGCGGGTATTATGGCCAGCCAGGTTTAAATATAGATTATTAGATATATTGACTGGTGTTTTACGATTCGTTTTGGCTTCTATATAAATCCCTAAATTGTTGTTATCATCTAGGTTATACGTTATAGTGGTGGTTAATTGTCCAGGATAACCTTCAGAGCCGTCAGGATTTATATGCTGTAGTATAATACCATTCTCGTTTTCTTCTATTAACTCCCAAATCATACTATCAAATCCTATAAAACCACCATTTAATTGATGTTTATCCTTAAGATTTTTGGTCAAACAGCATTCCTTTTCATCTAGAGTAAATTTGGCCTGAGCCACACGATTTGCTACCCTGCCAATAGTGGCTCCTATGTATTTAGTTTTATGATCTATATAACCCTGGATATTGTCAAAACCCAAACAAATGTCTTCTATATTACCATGTTTATCGGGGTATTTAATCATTTGTATTGTAGCTCCCAGTGTCAGAATGGCTACACTCATATTGTTGTTATTGGTCATAACAATGCGATAAACATCCACCGGTTTGGTGGTAAGGGGATTTAGAGCAGTTCCAAAGATGCTGGTATTAATAATTACCATTTTTTTATAAATTTTGAAATTTTTAATTTAACTGATTTTAATTTTTTTTTTTTTTTTGAAGTTTATTTTGAAATAATTTGGGATTAGGGCTTTTCAATTTTACATAAATTTCTGAATTTCCGATAAAGTTATAGAAATTTTACTGCAAATAGAAAGTTTTTTTACTGTTTATAAATACATATAAAAATGTGTTCATGTTTTTATACAATTGCAAATCTATTACCTTTAACGTCAGCCGCTAATCGACAGCAGTACCAATTGTAAGCATTATGTCAAATATTTAAAAATAACGGCATATTTCCCCTCTACAGAGGAAAAATACCTTCACTTTCAATAGCAATTATGCTACAATTAAGCCATCTGGCAACTTTTCACAAAATGAGCAACAATCATAGACAAAACAAAGATGTCAAAAACTCTGCAAGCTCTAAACCCGTTAAATTATTCAAAACAACTTAATTTAAAGTTAATTTGAATTTGTTTAATATCTAAATTAATTAATTTATACAATTTTTATTAAAAAATATAATTTTTACTAACAACAAGTAGCAAATTTGCTTTTCTTTAAAAGTTAGTTATGTTATACATAAATAACTTAACCAAAAAAACGCTACATTAACACCACTGTAAAAAAAGTCACTCAATTTATTTCAAAGGGAATTTATTTAAGGTGCTATTGGCAGCACATAATTCTAATAACATAAAATGTCAAATCACCCATATAAAAAATATACACCCACACTAACATATGTCAAACTGCCAACAAAAGAACTTAATGGAAATCGATAGTGCTGACACCTTATACAATACACCTTAATTAATTCTATTCTTGCGTTTTCCATCATATTCGTTCAGTTACTAAACTAAATTTATAGTATTATTAACTAATAAAAGTGCCAAAATTAAGCGAAAAATAGAAGCAAAAAAAAAAATTCCACACAACAACAAAACAACAATAATTTGTTTATCAAACAATAACAGCAGACATTTGCAAATTTCTTTTTTCGGTTAAACGTGAAAAAGTAAACGGCATCAAAGTGTTGAACTTACCGCAGCTATATTTGCAAGCCAATTCAGGTTCGTCAAGAAGTCAAGCGACTAGCAAAATGCCCGTAAGTAAAATTAGAAAGAAAAATATATGATAATATTGTATATGCAAATAATGTGAAAAAGGTCAAGTTGTTTTAGCATTAATTAAATCCATTGTTTCGATTTTTTTTTTGTTTTTGTTAAGGTGCATGAATTTAAAGTGGAAATGACCTGCTCTGGTTGTTCCGGTGCAGTGGAAAGAGTATTGGGCAAGCTAGGAGGTAAGAAATTTAATTGCTTCAATTGAGTTTTAATTAAATATTAGGAAACATATATAAATGGACACGTCAATGTTGATAATTAAGGTTAAATTGATGGAAATTTATTTTTATGGAAGTTTGGGGAAATAAGGGGGTGTTCAATAGATATTTCCAGGAACTAGGTTAATATTGTGAGGTTTTTTTAGATTGAAAGTACTAGTTCAAAGTTATAGCTTTTCTTAATTTAATGGGAATACCTAAATGAGTCATTGCGGGACCTTTTGTTTGTGGTTTATGCAGATTCCTTAGAATATAGATAGAGGCTGCAGCATAGCTGATCTGTGTGTCTAACCTTTCCGGCCGTAAGCACTTGTGATTTAAATGATACGTATCAAAAAGTTATCCTATAACTTAGGCAGAACTGCATGAAGCAACAAATACAGAAGAGAAATAACATTATGGAAAACAGAAGTTCTTAATAATTGTTAATTACAAGCTTAAAATCTTGCAAATTTTTATTACAAATAATTAGTCTAGACATGAACTGCCAATACAAATACATATGTGCATTTATGTATTTGTTTATAATCAACAAATTCGCTTTATTTCCAATATTTTCCTTTTGTTATTATTAAAAGTTTTTTGACCTATATCGTGTGTTTTTGTTACCAACTGATAACGAAACACGTACCGCAAAATCTACCATTAACTTTATCTTGAAAATAATGTGTTCCATTTGCTATCTTGGTTTTTTGTACTCTATGCATTATTTAATCTTGATATATTACTCTATAATAGTAGTTTCAATTAATATGCTTTTCTGTCTCTGTGTGTTTTGTGGTTTTTTGCTTTAACAGATAAAGTGGAAAAAGTAAGTATAGATCTAGATGAGAAAACTGTTTTGGTTACCTCCAATCTATCGGGCGAAGAGCTGTTGGAAGTTATTAAGAAGACTGGCAAATCAGCACAATATGTGGGTGTGAAAGAATGAAACGAAATGTTTTGTAAATTTCGCAAAATAGCGAAATTAAAACTGGAAGTTTAAGAACTATTTCTGTTTTTTGCTTTTCTTTTGATTTAAATTTAAAGTTATTTACCTATATTTTATTATTAATTTACTAATGTATAACATTTGAATGCAAGCAATTTACTTTATTTTTTTATAAAATATACTTTAAGAGTTAAATACACTGTTAAAGTGTATGATTTTTGTTAACAAAAAAAAAAAAACTGGATGTATTGTTTTTTTCTTAATTTTGTTAGGAAACTTAAAAGGGCATTTTTTGTTATTGTTAATCTATAGAAAATCGTTTTCATTAAAAAAAAAAATCGTTATTTAAAACAATTTTTAACGAATTTAGTTTTGTTTTGAAAACAAAATTAATTTTTTGCTCAAAAATTTATAGAAATTTTAAGCTAAATCATAAATATATTTCTTTTTTAAATAAAAAATTATGAAATTTCA